AGTCCTTTCCACGCCTTGGGATCGAGCTTCCGCCGTAGTTCCTTCGGCACGTGAACGAACACATCACAGCCGAAAACCCGAATGTTCGACACATCAGGCTTTCTCGATTCCCACAGCTCGAACGGAGTTTGCTTCTTCTCGAGCGCTGCAGTCGGACTCCTATTGACTAGGTAGGCCGCGGTCAACACAGCTTGCCCCCAGAACCTCTTGTCCACCGCCGAATCGTCCATCATGGCCCGCACCGTTTCAACGAGCGTCCGATTCATTCGCTCGCTCAGCCCGTTCTGCTCCGGCGTGTATGGCACCGTCCACTCGATTTTGATGCCTTTGCGTTTGCAAAACATTTGGAATCGCTTGCCTCGATATTCGCCGCCGTTATCGCACTTCAGCCGCGTGATCAGTCGCTCAAACTTCACCGTGACGAATGCCTCGTACTCCTCGAAACACTCCGCTACCTCGTCTTTCGACTTTATCAGATACACCACCGTGAAGTGGCTCCAGTCATCGATGAACGTCACGAAGTATTTCATTCCGTCAAGTCCAACCGGCGTCACCGGCCCACAAACGTCCGTATGCACAAGCTCGAGCACTCGCGACGATCTTCGTTCTTCACGCGACGAGAAAGGCTTCCGCGTTTGTTTACCCACTACGCACGGTTCACAAACAATGGTATCACTGGTCGCACCAGTTGCATTCAACTTCAGTCCCGATACCATTTTGTTCTGCACCAAACACTTCAAGCTTCTTTCATTTAAATGTCCATACCGACGGTGCCACAGTTCGAAACCTTTCTGCACTCGACCACACGTCAACAACGAGGCATCATCCGCACTGTGCCATTCGGAGTAAAGATCTAGTCCATACAATTTATTCTTCAACGAACCGCACGCGACGATTTCCGAACCACTGTAAATGTTTACTTTTCCAGTCTCAAAAACGACGCGCATTTCAGCCTGCTCGACGCGAAACACCGAAAACAAATTGCAACGCAGCTGCGGAACGTACAGAGCGTTTTTAATTGTACAGTCTACTGGCTTACCTTGAACCACCGCTCGAATCGTTTCGCCATCCTTAGCCACCGCAATCTCGATGGGCTTCTTCAAACGATGCAACTCACAGAATAATCCTTTGTCACGCACAAGATGATCCGTAGCTCCCGAGTCGATGAACCACTGCGTTCGGTTCTCCTCGGAAAGGTTCACTCTGTTGACACTTACGAAACAAACACTCTTCCGTTCGCCAGACTCCGCCATATTCGCCTTCGAGTTCTGCTTCTGCTTCCGAGTGGACTTGTTCTTCTTCTCTGGATACTCGGCCAGCTTGTGGCCTTCCTTTTTGCAGCTAAAACATTTCAGCTTCCTTGCCGGCTTCGATCCGTAGAACGCTGCATCCGATTCGGAATGGGAAGACATATCCATGCCTTTCCGCTTCGTCTCTTCGTCAAGCAGGCGACATTTGAAGAATTCGAGAGACAAGTTCTCCTCGGGCATGGTCTCCAATGCCGTCACAACACCGGCGTACGACGATCCCAGCGTGAGGAGCAGGTGACACACAACGTCCAAGTCATCCAAAGCAGCACCAGTGGCACGGTACTCTCGGACCAACTTGTCAAACAAGAGGAAGTGATCCTGCAGTTTACCTCCTTCGAACCGCATCGTCAGCATTTGTCGCTTCAAGTGCATCCGGCTGGCGATGCTGCGACACTCGAACACCCGGTGGAGTGCATCCCAGATGTCTTTCGGTAATTGCTTGTCGTGGATATACTCTAGCTGCGAGTCGTGTATCCTCGAAACGAGCAGCGATTTGCAGCGGCGATCTTTCTTAATTCGCTTTTCCAGGGCCTTTTTCCTTTCTTCCTTCCTCTGCGGCGTGTCGCCCTGCTGCTCCTGCAGCTCGTCCAAATCCGCGACATCAGTCCGCACACACTCCAAAAGCTCGTGCTCTTCTAGGAGTATCGTCATGTGGAATTTCCATGCCGCGAAATTAGAGCCATCGAACAGCGGCAACAGCAACACCGATTTTTCCTCCGTCATAACGCCCGACGAAACCGATAATTACTTTCGGACAACAAACACGCGAAATGTAACCTGGGCCCATAACCTGAAGAGGTTTTCGGATGGGCAAACAAAGGAAAAACTCACGGATTGATAGAGAGAAAATAAAAACAACGTTTATTCACTTGGTTTGATTTGGTTGTAATAAAAACGGAAATGCAACTGTCAAAACACACCTTGTCGATATCTTAGAACACGGAATTTATTTTCAGAAACATCGTACAGAACAAACTATGCAAAAAATAGCCCAATCAATCGAATGATGCGTCTATATAATTTGCATTGCGGAACTATTGACATCACTATGTCCAAGCAGCAAATACAAACTAAGCTAAAACAGAATAGAATTAATGCATAGTATGTAAGTAAACATTGTAATAATCATTGTATGTAGTCTACACTGGCTTGACGAAATGGAAATAAATAAAACGGCCGCAGCCGGCAGTGGTTGCCATCTCAACATGTCTGTCCTGTCTGTCTGTCTGTCTGTCTGTCTGTCCTGTCTGTCTGTCCTGTCTGTCTGTCCTGTCTGTCTGTCCTGTCTGTCTGTCCTGTCTGTCTGTCCTGTCTGTCTGTCCTGTCTGTCTGTCCTGTCTGTCTGTCCTGTCTGTCTGTCCTGTCTGTCTGTCCTGTCTGTCTGTCCTGTCTGTCTGTCCTGTCTGTCTGTCCTGTCTGTCTGTCCTGTCTGTCTGTCCTGTCTGTCTGTCCTGTCTGTCTGTCCTGTCTGTCTGTCCTGTCTGTCTGTCCTGTCTGTCTGTCCTGTCTGTCTGTCCTGTCTGTCTGTCCTGTCTGTCTGTCCTGTCTGTCTGTCCTGTCTGTCTGTCCTGTCTGTCTGTCCTGTCTGTCTGTCCTGTCTGTCTGTCCTGTCTGTCTGTCCTGTCTGTCTGTCCTGTCTGTCTGTCCTGTCTGTCTGTCCTGTCTGTCTGTCCTGTCTGTCTGTCCTGTCTGTCTGTCCTGTCTGTCTGTCCTGTCTGTCTGTCCTGTCTGTCTGTCCTGTCTGTCTGTCCTGTCTGTCTGTCCTGTCTGTCTGTCCTGTCTGTCTGTCCTGTCTGTCTGTCCTGTCTGTCTGTCCTGTCTGTCTGTCCTGTCTGTCTGTCCTGTCTGTCTGTCCTGTCTGTCTGTCCTGTCTGTCTGTCCTGTCTGTCTGTCCTGTCTGTCTGTCCTGTCTGTCTGTCCTGTCTGTCTGTCCTGTCTGTCTGTCTGTCCTGTCTGTCTGTCCTGTCTGTGTGTCATGTTCTATAAAGAAAAATATGATTTACTCTAATGGTTAATACATTATGCAAGTCTTAAGATTAAGGGCGGGGCATATTTACAAATCTGTGACAAGCAACGCATAAGATATATGAAGTACGTGATAAAGAGGGTGTGTAAATAAAAAAAGGTCATATTTTTTTTTTGTATTTTGCAAAACTTTTATGCAAAATTTTCCTGAAGTTTGATGACTTTTTCTTCTAAATTGATTGATGAGCGAGCTAGTGGAGTAATTGTATACCTTGTTTCGTTGTTTTTCCTTTTAATTCTAATTCTATTGTATCACTTTCACTATTTACTTTCACTATCCCTTAAAAAAACTATAACAGATATGTATTTCGTTTACTACTTGCAAACTTTTTCAGGGTCTAGTGACTTGACTTGATAGTAGTAAACGAAATGCGTATCTGTTATAGATTTTTTAAAGTCAAAGTAAAAAGTAAAAATAAATTAGTGAATGTGAAAGTGATACAATAGTAGTAGAAACAAAAGGAAAAACAACTTAATAAGAAACTTTTCTTTATGAAGAGCTTTGAGTGGGTTGGTTTATTTCCTTTAAATTCCGTTATAATTGCTTATCTATTGACAGATACGCGTATTTCGTCTACTACTTGCAGACTTCATCAGTGCCAAGTACTCAACATCTTGATGAAGTCTGCAAGTAGTAGACGAAATACGCGTATCTGTCAAAAGATAAGCAATTTTAACGGAATTTAAAGGAAATAAACCAACCACTCAAAGCTCTTCATAAAGGGATTCCGTTAAGAGGTTCGACAAATTTAAAGGATTGAAACTTTTCTTATTTTTGTAGAACTTTCCTGTAATTTGCAGAGTTTAATTGAAAATGCTTTAATTTTGCTAAAATCCGCTTAATTCTCGCAATGCACCCATCTGCGAATACACTTGTGAACATCGATACACCCGAGTGTATTGTATGAAATGTACCTGTATACAAAATTGCACGAAAGTTCAAGCTGAACATTCGCTTTGATTTTCGTACACAAGCACAACATGGTGTATAGTTTCGTGAAGACTAGAAGCAATGTATTTGCATGATTTTCATAAATTACTTCTCATGGATACAATATCCAGCATCTAATAGCTATGGCAAAAACGACGAGAAACGGTTTTGATAGCCTTGTTATTAACAAAAGGTAAAGTCGACGAAGATAATCGATCACTGTTACTTAGGCCTTATGCATGTTCGGTTTGATTTCTATATTATCGGCATTATCGATCAAACGGTTTTCGATCAGAATTTCGTCATGATTGTCAGAATTTATTTTCGATCTGGAAATTTGCCCCTAGTTACGCCAAACCGACGATCAAATCGACAGCGATCAAATGGCTACAGCTAAACGAAACAGTTTTATGAAATTTGTCCAATGCAGTGCTGAACAAGGTTGTATTGGATCTCATAAGCAACAGCAAAACGCACCGAGAAAAGTTAATCCAAGTGAGTTATTAACAAAATGAAAATTGACGAAGAAAATCAATCATTGCAAATAGGCCCTTATGAACGCTCACTGTTGAAATGCATTGTTTACAATAGCTGATACAACCCTGCGAAAAAAATAATTGAGATATGAACGAGTTATTCGGGATCAAAACTCCTAGATGCCTAAGAATTTCCACCGAGAACCTGGACCAATTTCTCAAAATTTGTAACTTCATTCTTCCGTTTCTTCTTTCCAGGATACACCCTATCCCCGGTGTTCCCGTTTCTGTGCGAACCCGTCTGCACCAGAAGCTGCCAAAACTGCATTGCCCCGGAGACGTGTCAGTGCGAAGAAGGCTACCAACTGAATGATCAAAAGGAATGTGAACCGATCTGCGAGAGCGTAGATTGCACCAATGGATTTTGCGCGCAACCGGAAGTCTGCCAGTGTAACGATGGCTATCGATATGAGGAAGGTGAATGCGTTCCGGTGTGCAGTGCAGATTGCGTCAACGGGGAGTGCGTTGCACCGGGAGTCTGCGTATGCGATGAGCTGTATCGACAGGGAAAGAATGTAACATGTGAACCGTACTGTCCGGACGGGTGTTTCAACGGTGATTGCGTGGGTCCCGGGTTTTGTCGTTGCAGGGAAGGTTTTGAGGCTGGCGAGGAGAGCGGACTGTGCGAGCCTCGGTGCAGTAGACCCTGCGAGAATGGTGTTTGTGCGGGACCGGAGAGGTGTGTTTGTAACGAAGGCTATCAGTTGGATCGGAAGGACGTGGGCAAGTGTGTACCGAAGTGCGATAAACCGTGCGTTCACGGGAGGTGCGTTGCACCCGATGTTTGCGAGTGTAGTAAAGGTGAGCGATTTCAGACAGGAGGATTTGTGAGGGCTTTGGTTTAATGGAAGGATTCCTTCATTGTTAGGATACGTGAAATTGGAGAACAGCCGCAACGTATGTGAAGCCAAATGCACCAACGGATGCTCAAATGGGAAATGCGTCGGTCCAGAACGCTGCGAATGTCTTCCGGGCTACTTTGCGACTACGAGTGGTAAGTATTTTTTTTAGAGAATAGTTCTGGCGTAAGATTTTAAGTTCATGAATCTGTATTGTAGCGATCAGCTCCAAGAAGTCGATCTGTACACCGTACTGCAAGAACAGATGCGTCAACGCGTACTGTATCAAGCCGAACGTCTGCCAGTGCATTGCGGGTTATCGATTCGGGGAGAATAGCACTAGCGTGTGCGAGCCAATCTGCGATGAGGAGCTGGTGGATTGTACCAATGGGCGTTGCACTCAGCCGAATGTCTGCGAATGCGATGAGGGTTTCATGCTGGCGATTCGGAATGGCAGAATGGTTTGTGATCCGAAACCATGCGAACGAGTTTGCGTGAACGGGTTCTGCGTTGGTGATGATCACTGCGTTTGTCTGGAAGGGTATAGGAAATCGGTCAAGTATGATTACATCTGTGAGCCGATATGTGACGCTAGATGTGTTAACGGGGTGTGCATCGCTCCGGGCATGTGTGTTTGCAAGGACGGGTTCTACGCTGGCGCAGAGGGGACGTGCGAGCCGCTTTGTAGTGTTGCAGAGGTGGATTGTACGAACGGAGTTTGCATGGGAGCTAATCAGTGTCAGTGTCATGAGGGATTCCAATCGAGGAGGAATTCGGTTGGGGTAATGGAGTGTGTTCCGGTGTGTTCGACGAGTTGCGTAAACGGTCGGTGTGCAGCTCCGGGACGCTGTGAATGTGACGAAGGATTCCAGCTGGATGAGACGTTGGCAGTTTGCGAACCGATTTGTAATCCACCCTGCGTCAATGGTGAGTGTGTGGAACCAGATCTTTGCATGTGCTACGAAGGGTTCGTGCCAGATAATGAGGACGTGTTTGAGGCGAACCATTTATGTGTTCCATATTGTGATCCGAGCGTGGTGGATTGTAGTGAGGGGTACTGTGGTGCCAATAATCTTTGCCGTTGTCATGAAGGATACTATTCGAGCTTTACCGCGAATGGAGTTAGCACGTGTTTACCCGTTCCAGAGGCAATTGTTCTGCAGTGTGATGTACCCAGTACGACTACGATTACTCCGGAACAGGAATGCTATTGTGAATCTGCAGAACCTTGTCCAGTAGTAACTTGCCCACCTGTAGTAGAGACAACGACAGCACCTAGCTGTGATTTTACCTGCCCAGATCCTCCAGTGTGTCCTGAACTACAATGTCCGACAATTCCTCCGACTACAACAGAAACCTACCAGCCATGTGAATGCCCTGTTCAAGCACCTTGTCCAGATTTCGAGTGTCCTCCACCGGTCGTTGAAGAGTGCTCTTTGCCGGAGCAGGACTCGAAATCGGACGAAATCATACAGTACAGTTGCGACGACAGTTACGTAGACTGCAGTCATGGAACGTGTCTGGGGAGCAACATCTGCGAGTGCAATCCGGGCTATCGAAAGGCCATTGACGAACAGGAATTGATCGTGTGCGAACCAGTATGCAAGCAAGCTTGTATGAATGGAGTCTGCGTGGCTCCGGACGTTTGCGAATGCTTCGTTGGCTATGCGGATGATGGCCATGGATTGTGCCAGCCGCTCTGTGAGGAGCCTTGTGTGAATGGGGAATGTGTTGCACCAGATGTTTGCCGTTGTTTAGTCGGGTACGAAGAGGAATGGGATGGGATGTGTCGAAAAAAGTGCGAACCGGAGTGCCACAATGGGATTTGCGTAGATGGAGAATGCGTTTGTGATGAGGGGTATGAGCTTAACTCGGAAAATGTCTGTGTAGAGATGGACCTGATAGACTTTGTTGAAGAAGATGTCAGGAAGATTGAGAGTAATTACGCTGGAAGGATTCAGAGCAGGTTGGGCATGGATTGCGATGATGGGTATGAGATGTTGGATGGCTACAGCGATTGTGTTCCGGTTTGTGAGGGTTGTGAACATGGAGACTGCGTAGCTCCGGGTGAGTGTGATTGCCACGAAGGATTCATTCGGTCGTACATCGACGGGGTGGGGTCCTGTGAGCTCGAGGTGGAGGAAATTAGTGAACCTCTGTTAGAGGAAACTACAAAAGCAGAGCTAGCGGAATGGCAGGCGGCAGAACAGGTTGAGATCATCCATAAGGGTGAAGCATTTAACTTCCTGTCCATTTTCAATCGTAGTCATTTTTTGATGGCAGCAGTGGCATCAGCAGTAGCCCTAGCTTTAATGCTAGTCTCATACTGGGTCTGTAGCTATCTGAATAGGGTGAATTCAATTCCTAACGAAACGATGATCGATTAACAGTTTCACCAATAAGACCAATCATTCTACCAAAGGTAAGTTTCAAAACTAAATATCAATCCAAGATATTATCATTCAAAGAGTGAATTTCTTTCAGTATTCATCAGTGCCATTATCCTTATAAATCGTCGTTATATTTATTCAATGGTTTCGTATCCGCTTAGGGGAAATAAATAAAAGTTAAAAGGCGTTCGTTACCTAAAACTAGTTCGGCTTTGAAATTCTTCTCTATTTACAATGATTTACGATGACATCCTTCAAGCGGGTTTCTTTTGAATATACTCATTTACTCACATACATACAAGTTCCATCCTCTGCAGGTTGAAAGCAAAGAAGACTTGGGAACACTACAATACATCTCACACGTTAAACTTATCCTCTTCGTCCTTTCCCTCCACGTCCGGCGTTTGGGGCATAAAGTAGACGCAATTTTCTTTCGTCTCTGTGGGGAAAAGAACGACCAGGTTATAATCATTGTAATCGGTGGTACGCGATGCCCGGCCCGACGACCGGCGTACGTTACCGAGCTTGCCGACGTGGTAATCCTTGCGCTTATTGCGAAGGACGATCATGGTGACGAAGGCAGCGGTGATGAGCACGGCGACGACAATCAACGGCACCAGGTACTTTATGTAGGCTACGTTGTAGATCAAGCTGTTGCTGTTAATGTGAAGGATTGTTAGTAACTCGTTCGAAGTTCAAACCGCTTTGAGCTCTTACCTATGGCTATCAACCTTATAGATGATCTCCGGAATCAACTGACACTGGATGTCGCCTTCCTCGTTTTGCTGGTATCCAGCGAAGCACTCGCAAACTCCCGGAACCACGCAGTGTCCATGGAGGCAGCCTTCTTCGCCACAGTCCGGTTCACACATGTTGACATCCTCCGTTCGCTTGTACCCTGGGAAGCAGTCACACCTTCCCGGAGCACCGCAGAAACTGTTGATGCAGTCTTGCGTACAGGTTGCCTTACACCCATGTTCCGAAGTAAGTTCATATCCTGCGTCACATGTGCACTCTCCCGGAGCTGTACACTGTCCATTGGGACATCCCTCAGTGCACCACGGTTCGCATGTCATCTTCGTTTTATCGACGTTGAAGTACCCTTCCACGCACTTGCAAACTCCATCCACGCACATACCATTGGTACACTTGGCCTTACATGCCTTTTGTCTTTCTTTAACAATAGCCTCCATTTTGGATGACTCACTTTCACATCGGTGCAAGCTTCCCTCCTCGAACCCATACCCAATGTTACACCTGCACTCGTTCGGACCAACACACTGTCCATTCAAACACTCCGGCTCACAGACCGGATCGCACTTGCTTGGATCAATTAGATTACCATAACCCTCGAAGCATCGGCATCGATTGCCTCCGGCACAGACTCCGTTGAGACAAGGCTTCTCACAATACGGCTGACAGTTGAACTCGTCATTCACCGAAGGTCGAAAACCCAAATTGCAGAAGCACTTGCCTTCTTCACAGTTCCCATTGTGGCAGTTCTCCTCACAATAATTCTGTTTCAACTGCATCCGGAACCGCTTCACATCCTCCTCACGCAGGCAAATGTGAGCACTTCCATTGTAAAATTCGTAGCCTTGAGCGCACTCGCATCGATTTGGCAGAACACACGTGCCGTTCCTACAAGCCGGTTCACACAACGCTACGCATCGATGGTTCTCTCCTTCCGGATTGATATAACCCATCGTGCACTGACAGTACCCCTGCTCACATTCTCCATTGCTACACCACTTGGCACACTTCTTCTCTTTCAGCTGCCGTTCCTTCTCTGCCCGAATTTCCTCCACCGATTGACACTTGGTCCGGCTCCCATCTACGAAGTCGTACCCATCATCGCATTGGCAAACGTTCGGCTCTACGCACCTTCCATTCACACAACCACTTTCGTAGTCGTAGTCTTCTTCGCAGGTAGGTTCACACAGCGAAGCGTTCCCCAGCGATAGTCTGTAGTTCTCGTAGCACAGACACTCACCTCCAACGCAATCCCCGTTGATGCAGCCATCCGGGCATGTCTTCTCGCAAAGTCCGATCGCATTCATAATGTAGCCTCGGTTGCAGTTGCATCTGGCATTCTTGTCGCAGTGCCCGTGTATGCATCTCGACCGACACAGTTCCATTGGATGCACGCAGACATCGTCATCCTTGATGTACCCCAGAATGCACTCACACGTATTCGGCGCAACGCATTCTCCATTTTCGCAGTCATCTTCGCAAACCGGCAAGCACTCGAACAATGAGTTGATGTCCGTGTAGTTGTATCCCGGCAAACAAGTGCATGAATTTGGCCCTGTACACTTCGCATTCTTGCATTCCTCCTCGCATATCGGAACGCAATCCCCGTCGATAAGATCGTAGCCTCGATCGCAGACGCACTCCTCCGGACGAACGCAGTGCCCTAGCGAACACTTCTCACACAGTGGAATGCACTCATCCGCTATCTTCCCGTAACCTTTGTGACAGATACATTTTCCCGGAGCGATACAGTTGCCATTCTGGCATCCGTTGGAGCATACCGGCTGACACAGATGATACGCCGTAGAGTTCTCGTTCGAGTAATCATCGTAGCATTCGCACTCATTCGGAGCAGTGCAATCTCCATTCACACACTGTTCCTCGCAAATCGGAACGCACGTTCCATTCGTCTCCTCATAACCCAGCTCGCACGGTTCCGGAGTTGTCGTACTCACTCTCTCAGCGATGCAATTCCCCGAATCGTTCTTCGAAAATCCTTCGTCACAGCTGCAATCGTTCGGACCCACGCATCTCCCGTTGGGACACTCATCCTCACAAATCGGTTCGCACCTTCGCTTACCGTTCACGGTTTGCATTTGATAGCCTTCCGGACAGAGACAAACGTTCGGTTCCAGGCAGTACCCTTCTCCACCGCAGTTGTTACATTCCGGCAAGCAGCTACCGTTCTCCGCGTGGTAGAACCCGGAATAACACTGACAGTAGCCCGGTTTGATGCAGAATCCATTGTCACATCCCTCGCAGTGTGGGATGCATCTGAAACGAAAATTCCATTATGTTCAATTTTTGGACGATCTAAAAGCAGCACATTACCGGAAGTTTGACAACCGTTCGAAGCCATCGTCGCAGGTGCAAAAGTTCGGTTCCGTACATTTGGAGTTTTCGCATGGCGTCGAACATACCGGGTTACATTTGTTCTTGTTGCGGACGTAGCCTTTGCAGCATTTGCTGCGGGCTACCATAACGTTTTTGTTGTTTCGTCTCACGTATTCTATCTTGCTGGAATGGGACGGATGGGTCAGGGTTATGAAGCACTGAACGTAGGTACAAGATTGATTTATGATTTTTGAAAAGTTCAATTTTAATTCGTTCGTTCGTTTTGAAGATATGTATTAGTTTTGAAATCATTTGAAAATCTGTGAAGAAGTGTTTCTGATCTTCATCATAATAGTTAATAAGCCTTTGATTTTTCAAAAAATATTTAGTGAACTTTATTGAAATCGTTTTGAAAACGCATGGAAATCAAATAATAGAACTAAGAACTTCTCAGAATTCTACAAAGTTTCTTTAATTAAACTAATAAAGGTCCCTGAACTTCTTCCCATTCAACTTATACCTGAGTCTCTATGAAGTTCCCTAAAGTGGAAAGTTGCTGCGTATTGCTGGAATGTTGCGTCCACTTCTACGAAGTTTGCTGAGCTTATACGATTTGATTATACCTGTCACAAACTACAACTAAATTTTTACCAAGATTGCTGAACTTAAATGTTTCCTATATCTCACTGTTTCCGGCAATTTGACCAACAACACCACTCTATACGAATCAAATGTAATGCTCCAAGCTACAAAATGGAACCAATGTTTCCAATTTGAAAATAGTGGAGAGAGTACATTTAATGATTATATTCTACGAGTCCACCCCATTAGGCATAAATGCGGTAGGCATACGGACGATAGACTTAATGGACGTTAAGCATTATATAAGATAGGCATAATGGACGTTAAACATAAAAGCTCATGCTGTTAAGTATATTTTTCATATACGTTCTGCAACTTCAAACTTGGATCTGGAGATTCAGCTTGCATTGTCTTTATCAGAGCCTTCTTGAACATCTAGCTTCTGATATATGCTGGTTCGATAGATGTCGATAGGGATATCTGAGGGGCCATTTACCCGATTAATATATTAACAGAAAACAAATGAAGAATTATGAAATCCATTGTTAGCATAGTGGTGTTGTTCACATACTATGTAGACAATCGATGGAATGATTTTTTTTTAACAGTTGTTGAAACTTTAAACAATCATCTTGCATCTATTTAGATTTATTTTATATGGTTTTCTCAGTCTAGGGTAATCCAAACAGTTAGTTTTGCATTTCTCCCTAACGGGATTACTCTAGAAATCTCCATACGTACCAGTCGAAAAATCTATTAAAACTATCTATTAAGTTCATGGGTAGCCTCAATCTACAAATATTCGCAAGTCTTCCAGTTTTGATAACTTTTTAAGTCCAAGCTTTTGAAGCTGTTCAAAACCCGTGAATATTTTTAACGTAAAACTACGTCATTGTGGACTTTACTGGGGTGCAAATTAAAAGAAGTGTGGCAAAATCGAGGGAGGCGACTCTATCTAAGATGCAGGAAATTTTTTGCTTTACTGTTGTGAGATGCACTCGCGCCTAATAGATAGAAACACGATTGATTATGATTTTGAAGATTTCCTGCAAAAAGGTCGAGAGCGCTGCGAGTCGATGGGTTTAGATGCGAGAGATGGAAAAAGATTTTTCGTAGGTTGATTCGCTAGTGTGAGATTTTTCGACCATTTAAAATCGAGATTTAGATGTGTCGCACCCCTCGGGAAAAATAGTGTTAGGTTTTGAACGCTTGTAACTTTACCATTTATAAATGAAATTAAAATCCAAATACACCAATCGATCGGAAATAACTCCACGAATATGCTAAAATAAAAACTTTTCTATTTTCCAAAAAATAAACTTAGGAGAATGTACAAATGATAATTTTATCTCTGTTTCCATGAAATAAACGTTTTCCCCAAACCCAGTCGTCATAATCGAGTACCACTTGGTTGCACATCGTTCTGCTTGAACCTGAAAAGTTATACATACAATATTTCCGCTACGGACGGCGTGGGAAGCACTCTGCCGTCGTTCAGAAACTTTTTCCTCGCAGCGGACGGTGTGATCACCTTGACAACCAGCAATGGGGCGGAAGGAGATACACCTCTTCAACGAGCTGCTTTTACATTAAACTATATCCTCCGATCCAACTGGCGGTATTTCATATTTATCTCGCTCTCATATTTATCTCTCTTTTTGTGGAGAGTCAACCGGATGATATCGGGCTGGTGTGGGATGAGCTTTAAGTTAAGTCGTACCGAAGCTCATTTTGGCGATGCTCATTTTTTTGGATCGAAGTAGGTCGCGCTGGAAAGTTGACACGTTTTTAATTTTGCTGCTGATTTTCATTTGGTGATTTTAACCATTTTAATCATGTTAACAAACTTCCGATTGTTCAATTGTTCAAAATCTCATGGACGGGATCGAAATAGATCAGACCATGGCGGATGATAAGTGAAAAAGGAAGATCCAGGAGCGGTGTTTGTTGGGAGCTGTCTTAGCTGATGGGCAACGAAGATCCCAAGATGATCACGATGGTGTGAATCCAGCAAGCTTATAGTGATACCGATAGATGCTGGACTGTTGCATTTGATGCATCTCTTTCCGAGGGCTGGCAACGAGTTGTGGTTTTCCAAAATCAAGATCCAAGAGACTTTTCTGAACTTTATTCGGAAGCTTCAAGGATTATTCGGGTGAGATCCTTCCTTTTTATTTATTTAGCTCGTAACATTATGTTCCATATAAATTTCACTAATACAGTACTAAGAAAACAAATTGAGGAACTCGGCTAGCTTAGCGGCTGCTGGGTTTGCTTACTGTGCATAAGATCGTGGGTTTATTATCAAATTCCTAAAAAAAAAAACAATCATATGCTTTTGGTTGTATCGCCTGGTTGAGGCGTATCCTGACCTAATATTGTAGTACTTATGAGGGTGTCACTAATTCGGTGGCCTCTCGTTGAGTAAGTACTACATCAACATTTCCTCTCCTATCCCTAGCTACGGTAAATATAGGCACACAAAAGAAAAAGTTCGCGAGTCATTGTGAGTTTTAGCGAACTTCTCCTGTAGATTGATTAGATACCCGTTTTTTTTTAGTTTATACACATTTTCTTGTCAGGAAGCGAGTAATGGCGCTATAACCCTAAGCCATATAGGGCTAAGACAAGAGCTAGTGCTCATGCCCCAACCACTCGAGGAAAATGGAGCAGTGTCTGTTTTTATCATTTACCATCACATGCAAGGAGTATCGCTTCAACCCACTGTCGATGAATTGCGTTTGTTTTGAAAATCTTCGTAGTTACGAAACGAGCGAAATGAACAAATGAGTTTATTATACATCAACGAATACGCGTTTGTTGATATTCACCAGTGCTCGATTATCAAACCCAAAATTGTCAAAATCAGAAGTTATCCTCAAAAGCAAAATAATCAACGACATGTTGGGCAAAATGATTATTTTGAATACTGTCGACCACACTGCCTAATTCATTGATATTATCATCAGTTCAGCTTGAGGCAATAATTTGCCGTCTACTTATGTCTAAAAACCACGTTCTTCAGCGCTATAATTGTTTAAAATGAGAATAATCATTTTGCATTTGATCCTCAATATCATCCCGACCAAGATGAAGACGAATATCAATATTTACAACAACAGAGGCGATAATGAGAATCCAGCCACGAATGAAGAAAAACAAATGTTATTTTTGATACTCAGAGGTTGCCTAGATCAAGGGAATTTGTTTATATCAAAATTCAAATTCATGCAGGTAGTTGGTCTATCTGTTAAGATTTTCTTCATTTTCAGCTAAATTGAGTGTAGAAGAAAGGATTTTTATCAGCACTGAAATGGAGCATCATTTATCCTTTTTAGATTAGATGCTCCCAACGACCAATCATTTATAACAACGGAACGTACGGTACGAGATGTCCAGGTTTCATCCATTTATTGGATTCTGAAGCATCGTGTTTAAATCTTTGATTTAATCAGGCCCGATGTTTCTGAATCATCTTGCCCCTTAAATGATGTACAGTAGGCCTGGCCGTTTTGATATATTTTGCGCATCTCTGATGTATAAAATATACCAAATAGACAAGAAAAAGGATGGAGGTATATCTATGATTTTCCAGGATGCTTTCATGAACTGGCTGTGTTGGTGTTAGATTAGATTAGATTAGATGTCCTACCGAAGCTCATTTTTGCATCGGACAACGGTCCTTCTCAGGACTACACTTTTTACAGAAAGAGTTAAATTTCTGGGATAAATCGGTGGTATTGATCGATTTTCAGTGAGACTACAAATGCGTTTAAAATTTTATAGATTTTTAATTGAGCACAGGTTGAATTTAACCAAAGAAAGGAACAGCAACTTCAGGCAAATGCTGATCCAGAAAGTGTTTACTCTGACGATTGAAAAATCAACACCGATTTTTTCTTCCTCTAATAATTTTATTCTTAGCGTGTTCGTTTATGTCAGTTCAATTTGGTATAAAATGGTATAATTTCTGATTACGTTTTGACATGACCGTTAGCTTAACAGTTCATCCTGCTTAATACGAACTGTTGCTTTAAAGCGCAAAAAACTAGTTTTTTTGTGTTTATGCACAAATGTTTAGATGTTTAGATATGTCCACTAGATTAAAGGTTTAAGAGGTTCTATCTGCATTTATCTATTAATTTCAGGATTCATTCGATATTCTAATTGAGTAATAATTAAACCAAAATAATTTAATCTTCTTATTTTTCTTCTTTGGCTATTATGCCCCAACTAGAAACTTTACGCTTGCTCTCAACAGAGGGGATTAAAGGTAAGTGATTTTAATTGATTCTCTTCGCCGACGTTGTTTTTCGTTAATAACTCTGCGGCAAACATATTCCTTGATGCGGTTGCTATCCTGCATGACAGTTGAAAACCTCTTTATCAAACAATGTAGCAGAAATAGTGTAAAATCAGTTGGTAAGGCCATGATTATCAAAAGAGAAAGTCGATGAAGAGAATCGATCAAAATCACTTTTACCCCTTTGCCTCTAACCCCCTCAACTTAGTATTCTTTAAGCACTTCCACTGCTGTTAATGGATAGCTTTCATAGCCTGCACCATTTTTGCTTTCGTATATTGTGTTGCAAGCACAATCA